AGAACTGCAGCCTTATGAGGATTGTCAAGCAAAATCGATTCAAGAATTTGAGTGAACTTCACAAGGAATGGACTGAGGCTGGGGTTAAGGCATCAAGAGCCACCACACACAGATGTGTCAAGGAATTTGGCTACAGTTGTCGTATTCCTCTTGTTAAGCCACTCCTGAACCACAGACAACGTCAGAGGCGTCTTACCTGGGCTAAGGAGAAGAAGAACTGGACTGTTGCCCAGTGGTCCAAAGTCGTCTTTTCAGATGAGAGCAAGTTTTGTATTTCATTTGGAAACCAAGGTCCTGGAGTCTGGAGGAAGGGTGGAGAAGCTCATAGCCCACGTTGCTTGAAGTCCAGTGTTAAGTTTCCAGAGTCTGTGATGATTTGGGGTGCAATGTCATCTGCTGGTGTTGGTCCATTGTGTTTTTTGAAAACCAACGTCACTGCACCCGTTTACCAAGAAATTTTGGAGCACTTCATGCTTCCTTCTGCTGACCAGCTTTTTGAAGATGCTGATTTCATTTTCCAGCAGGATTTGGCACCTGCCCACACTGCCAAATGCACCAAAAGTTGGTTAAATGACCATGTTGTTGGTGTGCTTGACTGGCCAGCAAACTCACCAGCCCTGAACCCCATAGAGAATCTATGGTGTATTGTCAAGAGGAAAATGAGAAACAAGAGACCAAAAAATGTAGATGAGCTGAAGGCCACTGTCAAAGAAACCTGGGCTTCCATACCACCTCAGCAGTGCCACAAACTGATCACCTCCATGCCACGCCGAATTGAGGCAGTAATTAAAGCAAAAGGAGCCCCTACCAAGTATTGAGTACATGTACAGTAAATGAACATACTTTCCAGAAGGCCAACAATTCACAAAAATTTATTTTTTTTTTGTTCTTATGAAGTATTTTAATTTGTTGAGATAGTTGGTTTTTGTTAAATGTGAGCCAAAATCATCACAATTAAAAGAACCAAAGACTTAAACTACTTCAGTCTGTGTGCATTGAATTTATTTAATACACGAGTTTCACAATTTGAGTTGAATTACTGAAATAAATGAACTTTTCCACGACATTCTAATTTATTGAGATGCACCTGTATATATATATATATATATATGTCAGAGCTCTTTGTCTGTATATTTTACTTAAGCATATTTTACTTTGTCTGTACTATAAAAACATAGGGCCTACTGCAAGTTTCAGAACTCAAAACCTCCTTGTTAGTCCAAAAACAGCTTTTATTGAAAACAAGCTGCCAAAACAAAAATCTACTTCCGGGTTTTTATTACGTAATGAATACAAAAGCACAAGACTTTTGTCTTATGTCTTCATAGACATACATCAACGCTGACTTCTTCAAAGACCTAAAGACTTGCCTCTTTAGCCCCTCTTTATATGGACAGACAGAAGAAATACTATAATACAAATTATAGGTAAAAAAACATTATAGGTACACTTCAAGAAACATTATAATATATAAAATCATGTCCCTTTTAAATGTATTTAATTATACTATACTATTTCTACTGTTGATACCCTTGAAAAGGGTTTTAATCAAGTTTGTTTTAGAGTTGGTTTTAGAATCTTTATCTAATTTAGTTTCTATTTAATTTTGGCTAAAAATGCTGCCATGGCATTAAAATAAAACAAACAAACATCCCAGGCCACTTAATTTATATTAATGATAAATGTTCTGTTTTATCACATTATGAGCATATTTTACCAGACAGAGTGCTGTTTATGGAATTATAAACTCAAATAAATTAGTTCAGCAGTTTTCAAATAAATCATCAGTGCAGTCCTAGTGCAAATTCTATAAAGCCGGTCAGACCTAGCAACAGTTAGCAAGGCTGATGGAGTTTAGTGAAGAGTAAGATATAACTGTTTAAAAATTCCATTCCAATTGAGGATGGATTAGGATTGCCATTATGTAACCTTTCCTTGACTAAGTTGTATCTATAAATAAAATAAAAATAATATCATACATTAAATAATAATAAAATATAAATACAACTGCAGATACAAGTCCATTTGATGTATATGAAGAGATTCCACCAAAAGGTCATCTTCATCACTCAGCATTCTGGTATGAAGCAGAGTGATGAGGTCTCAAGCCATTCATCTATGGGTAGAAGAGCTTTAAGCAGTCTAAGTGTGAGCATCAGAGTAGGGATGATGAGCCCTTCCACTTAGGCCTAATGATGGCAGATTAAGCCTTGATTAATCATTGATCTCTATATCCCTCTCTCCTTAAGATAGAAGGATATAAAGATCCTTAAAGGCCCATGTCCCCCTTGGGCTGTGCTCATTACAGGGCACTATCAGGAGTGTACGCTTGCCTTATATCATGAGTCTCGCCTCGTGCATGCTCTCTCTCCACTTCGCCCATTGGCTAAATGAGATTAAATTGCATTCACAATGGAGTTTTATAAAGAAAACATCAGAAAGAACAGATGAGTCAGTTAAACCTATGACGGTTCATTTGCCAAAAGTTCAAGGCAATACAAATTATAAGGGTTTTCAACCTTTTTTGTTTTAATGTCATGTCGAAAAAGTGGTTAATTAGAGGTATCACACAGTGTTGTAATTTTAAGGTGTTTTTTTTTTTTTGGTTCTTTTTTTAAGCATAATGAAAGATTAGTTCATATTGGTTGTTAGGACAAATTTGTTATTTTAGTTCAGTGGCCAAAAAGAGTTCAAGGATACAAGTCAGGCGAAAGAACTAACGAGTGAATTAATTAAAACCTTCATCTCCTCCAGGCCTGATAAGCAGCGAGTGTCATGAATGCAAACAAACTATGTGCGTTAGTTACAAATTACAGATCCTTGTGTCAATTAGCATGCAGCAGTCAGCTGTCAAAACCTGTTTGTGTGAGAGACGACCTGACTACAGACCTAATGAATGAAAGCTACATGGTTTTAAGAAAGTTTTACAGATCTTTATGTGGACTTTGGCTTAGATATAAACTGAACTGCAGGGCTATTCATTCCAATTACAGTGACAGTCAGTGTTTTAGGACCCCAAAGTGGTGGAACAGTCAACACAATCTCAAAGTAATTGCTTTCAGGTGAACGAGTGTCACATCCCATGTTTGAAGGACAAATGTATTAAAGAACCAATTTGGGTTGATGGCAGGATTCCACTTTCAACCTTTCTGTATGTGTTTTGTGGGTAAATCCGAGAGTCTCCCCCTCTGTTTGTGTACAATTGTCGGAGTGGCGGAGGGAAGGACAGGTGTTATCGTGGCCTCTCAGCTGTTTTGTTCAATGCACGGCGAGCCTGACATTCAAAGAGAAGGGGTGCGGTGGCGGACACCTTCCAGAGATGCCAGCTTTGCGTGAGGGGAATCAAAGCCTCGCCGTCACTTTTTATCTGCCCGTGCCACCTGGTTGGCGAGAGAGGCACATGCGGCGTGCCTCCAGCTGTTAGCCCTTTGGAAAAGTCTGAGGGAGGAGGATTTTAGCAGTGGATCATCTATCGGTGAGCTAGATGGTGGAGTATCCCTCCACCGAGAGCAAATGGATAGTTAGGACAGAGAAAAGAGGGAATAAGAAATGGAGAGTGTGAGTTTTTGTGCTGTAGTGATTTTTCTGATGGACACCTGGGGAGAAGGGACGAAAGTTCTGCTGTGTTTGTAGAGCGAGAGAATGAAAAGAGAAGGGAAAAAAGACAAAGATGGATAGGGGAGGGTGGTTTTGCTCTAAATAGCATAAAAGCAAATGAAAAGTTGATCTTATAATTGAGGAGAAACAGAAATGGGGTAAAAGTGCTCAGCAGGGGGCAACGCTCAGAGAGAAACTGTAACATCTCAGGCACTGAGTAACTGATAGTGGGAAATCACTAACACAAAGGGCTCAAGATGAGAAAAGAGAATTTGAGCTTATTAGCCACTTTCAAACGTAGAACTAGAGATGGAGCAGGCTTGGAGTAATGGATTGCTTGTAACAGTGTTTTAAATAATCAGGATATTAAAAATGCTAAATAATTTGGTTGTATAAGATTGTAAAAAATGCTTCATTAGCATGATTAATGTTTTTTTCATTTTAAAAAGTCTTGTGATCTCAAGATGGTACATCTTTTTTCTTAGCCTATTATGAGAGACTTTTCTTGCAATGTTACAACTAAAAACACAGCTGTACTGAAGTTTATAGCCTTAAAGGGATAGTTCACCCACAAATTTTAATTCAAAATCTTTTTTCCAAAGTCACGAGTCACAAGCTTAAAGGGCTAGTTCACCGAAAAATTGTCATCATTTACTCACCCTCAAGTTGTTCCAAACCTGTATAAGTTTTTGGTCTGCACAACACAAAAACATATTTTGAAGAATGTGGGTAACCAAACAGTTGCTGGTCCCCATTGATTCCATAGTAGGGAGAAAAAAAAACCTATGGAAGTCAATGGGATAACTGCTTGGTTATCTACATTCTTCAAAGTATCTTTTGTGTTCAGCAGAAGATAATTTCTAAGTCATACAGGTTTGAAACAGCTTGAGGGTGAATAAATGATGGCAACATTTTGGGGTGAACTAACCTTTAAAGCTTGTGACTCATGACTGGAAAAAAGATTTTGTTGTATGTTAACTTCACAGATCTATTCTGTTTCTAATGTAAAACAGTGCCACGGTAGTGGCATTATTGTTTTGTTGGCTTACAGAATTAATAGTTGATATCACATTTTTAGGTACCATATTTCAAATAAATGATTTCTATTCATCAGAGAATCCTGAAAAACAGTAATGTTTCCTCAGTCAGTCGATAATCAATCAATCAATCAATCAATCAATCAATCAATCAAAACTGGAGTAATGGCTCCTGAAATTTCATCTGTTCATCACAGGAATACATTATTTATTTAACAGTTATTTGAAATTATGATATAAGTTCAGAATATAACTGTTTGCCTGTATTTTTCATCAAATAAAGCAGCCTCGCTTAGCTGCTTTCTTTTGAAATCATTTTTAAAAATCTTTTGAAAAGTAGTATATTTTTATATCTCTGAGGTGAAAATGCAGAAGAGAAAGAAGAAGGAGTGTGAGGAAAACCAGAGGGTAATGAAAAGACAGAGATATAAGGACAGGATGTACACTTTGTCTGGTGTCAGGGGGGTGTTAGGGGAAGGCACAGTTAATGGGATGATGCTTGTGTATGCGTGTGTTAGAGCCGGCCATGCAGAGTGATTTTGCAAAACAGCTCCTCAGAGGGACAGATAAAGAGCGAGAGGGAGGAGTGGGGGGGTACATAAGGGCCATCTAAAGAGTGGATGGTGTAATGAGGAGGAGAGGGAGAGATGGCCCAGAGGATGTGCAGGGATATTTTACTCATGTCTTGTGCTTTGTAATGGCTGGCAGAGGATAATGGAATATATGAACATCCAGACAGGTGTTTGTGAGTCATAGATGATTTTTCTTTTCATCAAACAGTTGTTTTATAAATAATCTGTGCAGTAAACATATTTAGTAACATGGCAGCGGCGTTCAGTTGCAAGTATCTGGTCGTGTGCACCACACTGAGCCAGTACATTCGTATTTGCACACACACCCACAAACATATTCTATCCTGTGTGGCTTAGCTTTATTACAGTGGCTGGATGTTGCTCTTTTTCAAATTCCCCCTTATTTATTATTTTACTCTTTCTGAAAAGAGCAATAATCTCAGTTTCACTACAATATGAGAGGGTCGTTTCCTGACCCATGGCTTCAGGACCCAGGGTTGCATGCTACTCTGGTGAACAGGAGCATCGCTGAGAGTGCGGCTTATGTATGTTATCAGTGTTCGAGAGAGGGATATGAGTCAGGGGGGAAAAAAGCAGGAGGATTTTAATGACAGTGTGGCCCAATCACATCAGGCCATTGTCTGATGAGCATGACTGCTCTCAGCCCAAGCCTTGATTATCAGGAGGGCAAGACAGAGCAGAGCGTTATTAGAGAACTAATCAACAACAGTGCAGCCTGCGTGTGTGTGTTTAATAGTAATGAGAAGGGAACTAGGTGCTCTGACATGGAGATTATTGGGTATTAGCATGAGCAAAGAATAGTGCATGGAATTGTAATGACTGAACTTACTGCAGAGGTGTGAAAGCATAACGCGCATACATTGGAGAGGAAAGACTGTATTATGTTGTGGTAATGAATTACATGTCCCATGAAGCTTCTGTCGGCTTAGTTTAATGAAAGAAAGCATGGTCGTTTAGTGATCATATTTGGTCTTGTGCGGAGGTATGATGAGCTAAATGCCTAATGATTTTCCATCATGTACATTAATAATTTTCTTCTAAAAGCTCAAGATGTAAAAGAGCGCTTTTTCATTTCTTGTGTAAACTGAACAAGCAGTCTGAACAAGTGTTTGAAGTTGAACTATAACATTTACTCACACTGTTTATTTTAGATATGTGAATGCTTTTAAATCATAAGAGTTTCAAAGGAAAAGTTCACTAAAAAAATGAAAATTCATGCTGTTCCAGACATGTATGACTTATTTTCTTCTGATATTAAAAAACTGAAAAACAGGTCCCTTTTACAATGAAAGTCAGTGTTGTTTAAATGGGACCCATGGACAAAAACATTTGAAACAATGTTTTATGTTGTTTTTTATTTTATTTTTTATTTGATCAGAAGTGACGGGCTTTTATAATGTTAAAATGATTTATATGTCAAATAAATGCTGTTCTTTTGAACTTTCTATTTATCAAAGAACCCTGAAAAAATATCAGTTTCCACAAAAATATTAGGCAGCACAACTGTTTACAAAACTGTCTTTCAAAAAAACATTTGTGAGTAAATGATGACAGAGTTTTCAGATTTTGGATGAACTTTCCCTTTAAATGACGTGCTTGCATAATGTGATCAGAATCGGCTCATTTCTGCTAATTCTGAAGCATAAAAGCTCAGCTTTTTTTTTTTTGCCCATTCCTCCCCAAGTATAGAAAATGACCTGTCTCAATTTTAATTTCATTCCTGAGTACAATGCTATTTTGGCTTTTATAGCTATATTCAAACACCAATCAGCATTTCAGACCGCGTAATGAGATAACCATTATGACAGAAAATATATTTATTCTCAAAGAGTGTAGATCCAAATAAACAATGCCATATGCTTTTTATATATTATTGCATAGTGTTACACCACCTCTCATAATAAAGAGTATGATGGTGTAGTAAGGCCTGTCATTTCAAATGAAGTAAATGCCATAGCTGTTTATGGTGAGTGTTTGCTGAATGGGAAATCCGTTCTGGATCTGGTTATTTGTTTGCGGATGCAGAGCCAGCAGGGTTAAAACATTGTGACCTGGGTGGTTTAGATCTTATTATACAGCCTGGGATTTGCTGTAGTGGCGGTTGATGTGGATTTGATCAATAAATGGTGGATCAGGGAGTTTTTCAAACCATGTTAATACACAAGGCCCCTGTCTTGCCGTTTTACAAAGTGATAGAGACCACTGGAGATTCAGACACTCCAGAAAAACAGGCGCTTGTACCTTTTCACAATTCACAGGCTGCTGTTTTCTGCTTAATAGGGGTGAACTTGTTGGTCTCAGGTCAAAAGCTTTTATTTTAGGAATGGTATTTTTCACAGAAAACCAAAATAAATGCAGAGACCCAAATCTTTAGATCTTTAATTTTATAGTTTACCAATTACCTTTTTTTTTTTTTTTTTATCTAAGCCCAAATATGAGTAATTCATACAGATTGCAAGTGAGAATAAGGAAAGAGAATAATATGATCGTTTTACAAATAGCAGCTGCTTTCACGTTTCCTGCAATGTATTTACAGTTGCTGTTGCAAATGCTTGTCTCACATATTAATAACTCATCAGTCTGGAGTGTTTCCCTTGCTAGTGCATTTTAGTAGAGTGGGCATATGGCCATGATTTAGTTTGACAGACTGACACATGTAATATTAGTTAAACCAGAATGTACAGGGTTTGATCTTTTTAAAATATGCATATGATTTACTTTATATTAGTTTAAGAGGCCTATGTGCAACCTTGCTTTAACAACCCTGAACATGACAATAGGCACTGAAGCAAAGGAAATGTCAGGATGAAATTTGCATAAAGCAGTCATACTTGGGGGAAATTCTGGATATAATAAGGGGCAGGTATTTTATATCCATTATGTATGAAATCAGGATGCTTTCACTGCTACACAGGACATGAATGAGAAACAGCACAAGGCAGACTATGTAGACAAACCAAAACAACAAGACCCTGAAATTATTACTGAAAACAGCAAAATCTGATCATTTGCATTCATCTGAATATAATTGGCTGGGATTTATGATGTACAGTAACTAGTAAAAGTAAAACATTTGCATAGAACTTTTAAAATGAGACATCAGTCTAATTGCGTTGAACTAAAATCGGTTTACTGGGAACTTATGAAGAAACTAACAATTACAGAATCTCATACCTGATATCTTCTAATGTATGAGAGACTAAAGGTTAGGAAACTTCTATAAATGCTCAAAAAATTGAAAGGAAGTTGTGTAAAGGAAGTAGGAAGTTGTGGCCTAATGGTTAGAGAGTCGGACTCGTAACCCAAAGGTTGCGGGTTCGAGTCTCGTGCCGGCAGGGATTGTAGGTGGGGGGAGTGAATGTACAGCGCTCTCTCCCACCTTCAATACCACGACTGAGGTGCCCTTGAGCAAGGCACTGAACCCCCAACTGCTCCCCGGGCGCCGCAGCAAAAAAATGGCTGCCCACTGCTCCGGGTGTGTGTTCACGGTGTGTGTGTGTGTTCACTGCTGTGCGTGTGCACTTTGGATGGGATAAATGCAGAGCACTAATTCCAAGTATGGGTCACCATGCTTGGCCACATGTCACGTCACTTTGTCATTTTTCACTTTATTCAGCTCTTTGGTCAAGAATTGCATCTGGATTGGATCATCTTCCATGACGTGTTGGTCACCTCACGGGTGTACGTGAGAACAGTTTGTCCCATCCGTTACGACTGGGTAAAGGACCTGTTGCCGAAGCTGCATGAAATCGACGTCTATGAGTTGAGTAGTGTCACTAGGGAAGAGGTAACCGATGAAGAGATGGCGCAGTGGGAGGAGAAAGAGGCAGCAAAAAGACAAGCAGGTGTGTTTGAAGAGGCTGAGCATTTTGATGTAGTTAAATTGTGTCATATTTTTGTAACACATTTTTTGGTTTTTCAACAGAAGTCACAGAGGATGAGGCAAAGAAGATGGAAAAGCGAAACGATGAAAGTTCAAATACAGAGGCTCGCACTCGCTGTTTGAAGCGAAAACAGCATCGGCTGCAAAGAAAGGGCACATGAGAGGATCAAATATTCACCACAGATACTGCAGCTGCTGAATACAAATATGAAAGATTTTATAATCTCAGATTTCAGAACATAATCCGCGTTTACTGCCACAGCACTCTGGTCCCTGTGGATTTTGAATATGGCTCTTGAGTCATAACATGTAATAAACATTTTATATCTTTTATGTAAATAAATATATATTTTTAAACTTTTGATACAGAGTGTTCTTTTTTTAAACATGTTTAAAGTGTGGACAAAACGTGAAACAAAACAGTTCCGCATCCAGTGCATTTGAGGGGAAGTTTTCATTTATCCCAATGACTTAAATCTTCGACTCACTAATAAGATTTGTTAAGATTAGTTCAGTGGCTCTTTCTACAGGTTACCAATAGGAGGTGATGAGTCACTGAGTCTTTCACTTTCTGTTGAACACAATATTTTGAAGAATGTTGATTACCAAACAGCGTATGGTAGCCATTGACTTCCATAGTATTTTTTTTTCAATACTGTGGAAGTCGATGGCTACCGTCAACTGTTTGGTTAGTTACCAACAATTTTTTAAATATCTTCTTTTGTGCTCAACAGAAGAGAGAAACTCATACAAGTTTGTCCCAACTTGTGGGCAAGTAAATGATGACACAATTTTCATTTTTGGGTGAATTATCCCGAGACACACCAAGCTGACATCAAAGAATTAGCACTGACAAAAGCTGGCGGTGTTGTCGCCTTGCTTCGCCTGGGACAAAATTTTGCACTTGAACACACCACAAAGATTATAGCCAATAGCAAACTTAAACATACGTTCTGTTCCTGCATGAGAAGAAATAACTCCATACTGGGTGGCAGTAGTCTGTATTTGTCATTAAAAAACTGAAACCTGAAACTAGGACTGCAGTAGATATACAAACTAATCACAGATGGACTCGCTGCTTCAAATATGTCTGATGAGTTGCAAATGGCACTGTCTTTGTCAGTCCTTTGGGCCAGAAAGGAAAGAACTGGAAGTGAAAAATAAGAGGTAATAGTTTTATCACTTTAGTTTTTTATTGTGCACTGGTTCGTTAACATCCAGTCAGGCTGGTCTCTCTTACTGATGGGCTCAGTTGCTGATCCAACATGCTCATTTGGCCAAAAAGCCACAGATGCGGTCTGACTAGTGCCAAGTGTGTGGAACACAATGCAAAAACTGGGCCGACAGGCATTCAACACTGGCTTGACATTGGCCGACCATTGGTTTGGTGTCACCCAGTCAGCCCTAAAAAACGGCCAGTTGTTTATGACCCATGATTAAAGGAACTCCATAAAATTTACAAACAATATGTTGACTAATTTCGTCATCAGGGCCATCAGGGCCTCTCATAGATTGATCCACTGGAAGCTGTAAAGTATAAAAAAGCAACTCAGACTTGGGTAGAATGTAGCCTTGCCGAAGTCTCTCATACCAGACCCTGTGCCTCACTACAGTTCGTACCACCTACCAAGGATGGATTCTCCAGCAGCGCAGTTGAACCTCAGTGGACAGGCCGAGCCAGTCTCGACTGTGGAGCAGCTGCCCAGGGGTGATCTATCGCTGGTGCAGTATGGAGAAGGTTCCACTATGAGTCATCAGTTGGATGTTGAGAGATCTGCCAGTCATCCTAGCTCTTCAGTAGCTCCTCCAGGGTATCACAGCCCATCCGAGTGTGATTCACTCAGCAGTGGTGCTGCATCACCCACGTTCCAGGCGGATGTACAAGCCAGAGCTATTTCAGGTCAGACTGAAGGCTACTGCAGTCTCATCTGTCCCGCTTCCACATTTAGGCCAGCCATTTCTAGCTCAGACGGCCCACATCGATATTTCTCACCAGTCAGCTTTGTGACACATGACACAAGCTACCCCTCCTGCTGCACATGGTACTAATTTGCCATACCATGGTGTTCCCCCCTTATCTGTTCCACATGTAACACCACAGCAAGCGGTTCTGTTCAGCACAGCATATCCTGCATGTCAGGTCACCTCATCACTGCCACATGCTGTTACATCAGTGAAGCTGCCTTTGACCACTACAACGTACAGACCCCTAGTGCCCCCTGTATATCAGTTACAGGCTCACGTGCCAAGCCAATCCACACGGCAGTCGTTTGCTGTGTCCGACCCGTATCACCCTCTGCTACCGACCACTGGGTATCACCCTGCTCAGCCTCCCATTCACACTCCTGTGCAGCCCTGGTATCCCCCTTCAGTGGTTCACCAGCCACCACCTCCTCTTCCGGTTTACCAGCCTATGCCCGTTACACCCCCGCTACAACCAGTTCCTATTCCAGCCTCGCCTAAGCTCGTGAATGATAGTGAGAGGGAGTTCACAGACCTGAAGATGGCCTTGGATAATCTTCTCAATCCTCACACAGAGCTTACCGAGCACTATAAATACAGGGTACTGATGGAGCAGTTGGTTCTGGAGGAAGCTAGGTATCCACTGCAGTCTATCATGGCATTGCTCAGCCCATGGAAGCTAGCACAGGGCAGTCTGTCCGTACCGATGCTGCTCACGGTCAGTCATCAGCCAGGAGACTGAAGCGTTTGTGTCTGTTCTGTAAGAGTCAGGAGCATTACCTGTCGCAGTGTAGCAAAGTTACTGAGTGCTCACCTGATCAGATTCTAAAGTGGATAAAGGATGGAAAAAGATGCTGGATATGTGGGCGCACAAGTCATAAATGGGAGGAATGTACGTTGAGGAAGCCCTGCAGGGACTGTGGTAATATACATCTCGGAGTCCTGCATTCCATTGCCCAGGATGGTCCTAACAGTGTGCTGCTGACAACATCTCACGAGCGAGCATATCTTACTTCTCCTAGTTTGACGGGTCGTGTGTACCTGAAAGTAGTTCCAGTGCTTCTGTGGAGAGGCAAGAGGTCTGTTTCGACCTACGCTATCCTGGACGATGGGGCTCAGCGGAGTATCATCCTTCCTGCAGCAGTCCAGCAGCTAGGAATTGAGGGAAGGGAAGAGACTATGGCCCTTTGCACCATCCGACATGACATCACAGAATTGAAGGGGCAGTCAATTGATCTGCTGCTTTCCCCGCAGTCAAGGCCAGAGGAGAAGCACAGCCTTAAGGGTGTCTTCACCGCACCTCTCCTCACGCTAACCGAGCAAACCTACCCCGTCAAGAGGCTCCAGCAATGTTATCACCATCTCAGAGGGATCCCCATTCCATCTTTCGATAGGGTCTAACTTACACCCCTGCTACAACCAGTTCCTATTCCAGCCTTGCCTAAGCTCGTGAATGATAGTGAGAGGGAGTTCACAGACCTGAAGATGGCCTTGGATAATCTTCTCAATCCTCACACAGAGCTTACCGAGCACTATAAGTACAGGGTACTGATGGAGCAGTTGGTTCTGGAGGAAGTAATGTCAAGCATGTCGCCATCATCCTGCACCCTATACGGCAGCGATGATAGCGTTGCAACGACAGTATGGCCAGCCTCATCAACTGGCACAAAGCGAGATCGCAGCCCTGCTGAATTCACCTGATATCAGAGTTGGGGATGCAAAGGCCTTTCAGAGTTTTGCACTCAATGTTGACTTGCTAGTTGGTATGCTGATGTCACTCGAGGGTCCACAGGGGCGAGAGCTCTCTTGTACGGGGCATGTCGACAGACTACTCAGTAAATTGCCCAAACACTACCGAGACAGCTTTATAGAGCACTTACAGTTGCGAGGCCGATTGCACACTGACAGCCTCAACCCATATAACCTGCATGACCTTGCTGACTGGTTGAAGGTCAAGGCGGAAGCGCAACGTTTATCGTTCAAGATGGTGCAGCGCTACCAGACCGAAAGAGTACAGGTCTCATGTAAGGATCGCCAATCTGTTCCAAAGCCCCAAACTCGATCCACTGCAGTCTATCATGGCAGTGATCAGCCCATGGAAGCTAGCACAGGGCAGTCTGTCCGTACCGATGCTGCTCACGGTCAGTCATCAGCCAGGAGACTGAAGCGTTTGTCTCTGTTCTGTAAGAGTCAGGAGCATTACTGCGCTATCCATGGACGATGGGGCTCAGCAGAGTATCATCCTTCCTGCAGCAGTCCAGCAGCTAGGAATTGAGGGAAGGGAAGAGACTATGGCCCTTCGCACCATCCGACATGACATCACAGATTTGAAGGGGCAGTCAATTGACCTGCTGCTTTCCCCGCAGTCAAGGCCAGAGGAGAAGCACAGCCTTAAGGGTGTCTTCACCGTGCCTCTCCTCATGCTAATCGAGCAAACCTACCCTGTCAAGAGGCTCCAGCAATGTTATCACCATCGCAGAGGGATCCCCATTCCATCTTTCGATAGGGTCCAACCCCTAATTTTAATTGGGTCCGATTATCCGTCTCTGATTACCCCAAAGGAGCCCATCAGATTGGGACCAGCAGGCGGACCAGTCGCTGTACGCACGCAGCTCGGTTGCATCCTCCAGGGACCAGATGGATTGTTCCCACATCAGGTACCTTCCCCGCAGTGTTTTTTCACTTCTCTTACACCACTGCGAGACCCTGTCTATCAACATGTCGAGCGACTCTGGCAGCTCAATGTCCTTCCATCTCGCAGCGAGAAAGTGATAACTCGGTCTAAACAGGATCAGATGGCTGCAGACATGTTGGAGACCAGGACGCGACGAGTAGAAGTTGACGTAGTCTGGCGCTACGCTACTCCACTCCTTCGTGCTCCAGACGCTCCACTGATGAAAGGGACTATGGAATCCGTTCTGTTCAGCCTCAGGAACACTGAGAAACGCCTGAGTAGAGACCCCGAGAGGGCTAAGGTGTATGAAGCCGAAATACAGAAGCTCCTTGTCTCAGGGTATGTCGTCAGGGTACCACCAGAAGGCCAGCAGGTAGACGAGGAGTCGTCGTTCATACCACACCACCTCGTGCAGCATAACGGCAAATACAGGTTGGTCTTCAATTGTTCCTTTGCATACCAAGGTGTCTCTCTTAACCAGCAGTTGCTTCCAGGTCCTACCCTTGGTGCCTCACTACTAGGAGACCTTCTCCGGTTCCGGCAGTACGCAGTCGCCATCAGTGGGAATATACGTGGCATGTTCCACCAAGTGAGACTCCTACCCGTGGACAGACCCCTTCTAAGGTT